ACAAAACAGCTAGGCAGTAGACTATACTTACAAGCGCTGCCTTGTTACTAAAACCTGTTGGCCAGCAGATCATGCCTGATCACCTTTGCTAAAAAAATGCTCTATTTATAAATTTATAAACCAGATCTCCACTAGTGAAAATCATCAGAAATTGTCAGGGGTTTGTTGATAAATCTCTTCTGTTTTACACCATTTAATGATTGGCCCCTAGCAGCACAAGGGAAACAGCATCCATTTCTGGAAAGGATATTGCTGCTGAACACAGAGCTCTGGAGGGAATTGCTCTTAACAATGAAAGTGTATCTCTCTCTTCAGACCAGTGCAATCCTGATCCACCCTGGTAAGTAGGCCAATTTGCGCCAAATATGAGGATGTTTTTTTCTCTCCTGTGCTGAGGCCACCCACCCACTATGCACAGGACATTGGATAGCAACTATAATGCATTTTAATCTCAACTGATGGACAAAATAATGTACATTCTTGTTATCAGTCTTCTTAGGACTGGATAGGATATGATTTCCTCAGGACCCCTTCTGCGTACTAAATTATATGGACTATCTCCAAGGAGCAATGACGACTCAGTAAGCTGAGTTGGGCTGCTGGGTTGCAAGCTGGATTACCTTTGTCTCTGAGCCACATACTGCTCTCACTAACTCTGTGGTGGTGTTGACAGACTCCAGAAATAGCCATGTCCAGTGTTTTCTTACTAGAAGTCAGGTTTGGGGCCTATTAGTGGGGGAGGCGAATTAAAAATTAAAAAAGGGAGCAGTTCGGAGGGGTCCTGTCCTTCTCAACTCACAGTCGTCAAAGATGATATTGAACCAGACCCAGCAGTTAGCACATAGGAAATGTCTTGAGTGATCTCCTTTAAAGCTGGAACCTGGGAGTGTCTGACACCTTTCGTGCTTTCAGCCTTTCTAAGATTCTTCCCCACATTCCTTCACCACTAAATGAATGGTAGGACTTCCTGAATGTTTTTTTCCACTCTTTCTTACAGTTTTGATTTAATTTTAATGCAAGGGCACCAATCCTAGTTTATGTCATAATAGATGGACAACAATAGTGCAATTTAACAAAAATAAAATGCTAAACAGTGCTACATGTTGACGGAGGCATGATGGATAAAATTTGTAGTGTTTGGATGGTTTATATCTTCAAAGAAGAGCTGGCAAGTATACAAAGTAACAAATGTATTTAAGAATCTATGCCATTCAAATGATACTACCACATGTCTGCTTGGGATTTTTCCCATCTAAATGTGGGAATATGGGCACAGATTCACTTGCATACGGTGTTCTTCTAACATAAAGTGTCTGCGTCTCAGAGGGTGTGTCAGCGGTACCCGATGTCATCAGAAACACATTGCAAAGGAAGATAGCTGTATTAAGGGTACCTTATGTGTGTCAGGCACTCTTTCTTTATTTCCTGGAAGAAGGAGGGCATCATGCTCAAAGCATTCTCACTGGAAATTTATATCAGCCTGAAAAAGAGAAACATGTATCATTTACATTTCAAGGCATTACAAGTCCCTATCCTAGCTGAAGTCGTCGGCAATTAAGGTATTAAAGGGACCAGATTCTGATGTGAGTTGCAATGATGTAAAACCCACTAAATCTGGTCATTTTGACTGAATTATTGTGCATTTACATCAGTTTCACTGAGATGGAAGCTGGCTCAGAGTCTTTACATAATCTATATATTTTGTGCCTTTTTCTCCCTTTATTTGTCACAATAAGCCACCTCCTTTGCTGATTATTTTTCATTTGTGGAATGTATTCATATTCTCAGAGTCCATCTGCTAAAAGTATCCTATTTAAAAGACTATGGCATCATTAGCTACCCTTCCTCGCTATAAAGAAAGGAGCAGTTCCCATATTTTTACCCAGTTCAGTGGCTCAGTGGATGCACTAATCTTGCTGAACACTTCAGTTTAGATGGTATATCAATGAGGCATTCAAACAGAGCAGTTTATACACAAAAATTCTGTCTGCTTTGTAAAAGATTATCCTTTTATAAACACTCTGCGGAAAACATAAAAGCAAATAGGGGACAGCACATAGGACAGGAAAGATGTTAGCAGGGAGATTAATACTGAATGGGTCGAAATGAATGGTGCTTACCAAAACGAGGTCCAGATACTTTGGCTGCAGTGAAACATAAATAATGGGAATGACACATCGTTTATTCGGGATAATGAGTTGATCCGAAGTAGGGGCCTAGAACAAGAGATTAAAGATTAAATATCCATCTCCTGATGAATATCAGTAGCAAACTTTAACCTTTTCCTTCCAAAAGCACAATTTCTTTGAACAATCATGTCAGCACAACAGAGTGAAGAAATGAGCTACAGCAAACTTAAATCACATTCTTATCTTATCCTGTAGGAAAATACTGCTTCATATTTTAAGACAGAGAATTGTATTTTTATTTCCAGGCTTGTAGCTCTTTCAGAATAATTATAGAGAACACAAAGATTTTGTTTGATGTTTTGTATTATAAAAATCTAGCTTTAGCTTTTATTGCTTACATTTTAGTTATCGGCCATAACTGAAGAAAGAACATATCCATCCTGAATACGCACTTGGGTTGAAAGATAATGACGAAAAGCAGCCTGCTGGAAAAGCACAGCATACCACATGCCGAATTAGAGTCTTGAACGCAAGGAGGGCTTGGAAGATGTCACAAGCTTCGTATCAGGAAGGACTGGAACTGGAGCGAAGCGGGGAAAGGCACAGACTACTGGGGATAGGAAGCTGCCTGTACTGCAGTGCTGGCAACCCGTCCAGGCTGGTCAATTAGTGGTCCTTCTAGCTCAAGATGCTGTACTGCAACTGAGGCAGAAGACACAGGACAAGTGGGAATCTGGATAGCTGTGGCTTGCCCAGAGCTTGGAACAGAGCAGCTGCTGAATGCATTCAGCCAGCCAAGACCAGCATTGTGGTTTTGTTGCTGATGGCTGCCTCCTGAAAGAGGGATAAAACGGGGGAAGGGGGAGGAAGGAGAAGGGGGGCGAGACTTTCAAATGACATTTAGAAAACAACCAGGCTAGGAGGCAAGAGTGAGTTCAGCTTGCTTTCACCTGCTCTGTGGAAAGGGGTTCACAAGTGAGATGAGTTTGTGGTTTCATTCTGCTCTCTAGGGAATGTTTTGTCCTGGTGCCAAACCAGCATGCATGTACAGTTGGCAGTTTCTCCGCAAAAGAAGCCCAGATCTAGGAGCTGTGGAAAAGTATCCATTTTTACTTGGTAAATATTTGCATGCAAAACCAGATATTCCCATAGGTTTTTGTGAGGCTCTGTGAATTTGTTAAAAGGAAGGATTTTTTATTTGTGCTGCTGGAGTGTGCATGCAATGACATACAGTTCCAGTGAGGACATGATCCTGCAAAGTGTATGAGCTCACTGAAAAGGTATCCTGAAGGAGACCAAATACCTTTCAGAAGGCAGGCCCTACATTTTGCAAAATTTGCAAGTTGGAAAAAAAAAATTACCATTCCATACCCTCCTTCGACAGGATTTTCCAGGAGCAAAAAAATCACTTTACTTTTCCCATTTTTTCTTACCTTCTGTAGTCTTTCCCTCCTACCTTCTGGTATCCCTCCTATGTCAGGGGTTATGCTGGACCTAATACTCCATTTTCCATCTCTTCTTAAGTCAGAGACTTGAGTTCTCTCAGGCCTCATTCTTCCTGAGCTGTCCTGTAACAGCCTTTCTACTGTCCTCATCCTAAAACCTCCTGAAGACCAATTGCTCCTACATCTGATACTGTATCATCTGTAATACACTGAGAAAAGGTTCACAAGTTTCAGGAAGGCCAAACAAATGCAGTTAAAGGAGGAGGACCTGGGGTGCTGGAATAGTAGAGGATGCAAAGCTGACAGGTCATTAATAAGGGTGTGAAAAAAAGAATTTAGGCTGGTATCATCTCGGTCAGCCAGGACCAGGCTCTCCCATATCTACTAAGCTTAGGCAGATCCACTCTGGTGAGTGGGTCAAATTTTCCACTGAGACTACTCCTAAAGGAAGGGGAGGGCCAGCTCACTTGGTGCAGAAGCAGCAGTCTCTCCTCCAGGGACCCGAAGGGCTACTCACTGGAGACGTAGAGCACCGTGCTTTGCTCAGCTGCTTTGCCCATTTTCAGCACCTTGCACTGATTTCCAGCCAGACAGGCTTTTATCCTTGAGATAGGAGCAGCGACTTTCCTTTTATTAAGAATGAAGCAGCCATTTTCAAACATTATCACAGTTCTGACAATATATATTACAAGCAACAGGGCGGTGATGGGATGCCAGGACTCTATTATTGACCAATGCATGATGTGAGGAAATCGCATGCAACCACTCTACGTCGCAGTTTGCTTTGAAACGGGGACAGACCTGCTGTAGCTGTCTCATCGAGGGCTGACAAAGTTCAAGGAGCGAGTGGCAGGAACCCCACTGCCATGCCCCTCGTTTCAAAAGGCCAAGAGGCTCCTTATGCAGCAAAAGATGCTCACTATAAGGTTTGTTGGGGGATTTGAGGGTTTTCCTACAAGGAAAACCTCAGGGAGCTCCCAGAGAGGGGCAGCAAGGAGGAATATGGCCAGTGAGCGCCATAGTGGGCACGTGGCCCCGGTGCCATGGCCACCCACCTGACCAGGGACATGCGTGGCCCCTCTTATGGCCGGACAGCACTTTTATAGGCAAAAGGTTCGCTTCCGCTGCAAATTCCCTGTCTGCCATTGCTACTCTCTGCAAAATTGATTTATTAGTGACCACCAACATACGTTCAATCTGATGTGGCACCAAGCTCTTGTAATTTAAAAGTATTTTCTCAGAAGCAACTATGACTATGTTTAAAATTAACGCTTAATAACACAAAGACGGTGATCAGAGCAGAACAAGGCAGAGGAAAGACTGTTCTGGGAATATCTGCCTGAATCCAGCTGACAGAACTGAACTGTTTAGGGCTGCTTTCAGTATGCTCTTGTGAGCTGCAATCACAGTAGTTTTAATTCACAGAAAAATATCAGCTTGAACACCTGGGTATTTATAGGAATCGGGGTTTGGGTTGTAAAATTAGACGGGTGACTCACTATGTAAAATGTTCTCTCAGGGAAACGCAGCAGTGCTATGCTACTTTGTGAAGCTGTGCTAGGAGGAACTACAACTCAGTATGGATGTTCACAGCTTGACTTGTATAAAGGAACTAACTTCTAAAACATCTGTAAATAAATCTGTACAAATAGACACAAGTTTTCTTAGGAAATGGCCAAAGCAACAACATTCAGCAAGTGGTTTATCAGTTAAAAGTTCCTCTTTCCACTTTACCACAGGCCAGAGAAAGAAGTTGAAAGGTAATTCAACGTGCCTTTAACCACCTAACCGCTACGTGAGCCTCCACTCCTGTGTAACTGCCACTACATGCCTCAGAGGATAGGAGTATACTTTTGTGGTAAACTCACAGATAAAATCTTGCCTTTCAGACACTGCCAGCTCATTAGCAGCTGGCCTGTTGCATCTGGTCTTACCTGTGTTAGCTGGGAGCAGCCTCCTGAAAACTGGTGTCACTTACACTAGTCTTATACAGGTACGATTCCCGTAATTTCGGTGACCCTACTCACCATATGTGAAAACTAAGTGTAAAGGGAAGAAAATTATATTGTTACAGGCTTAATGCTTCTCTCAGATACTTTAGGAAAAAGCCACATAGAAGAGCTACTTACTTTACGATAGGTAGTATGGACTTAAAAGAGACCTACAGACAGCAACGACTGTAAACCAGAGAGTGCCCTATAAGGTGTAACCATACCTTTTTACATTTGAAATAAGGCAAGTGGAGGCAGCGGGAAGTTCAGTGACTCTCCAAGGTCTCCCAGGGGTTTTCTGGAAGAACCAAGAGCAGAACCGCAGTAGCCTGCACAGGGGCTGAGGCTCATCTCTACCAGCTGTGGACATCTACATTAATGCTACGTGCCCTAGGTTTTCTTCATAATCCATGGACAGAAATTGGCAATTGTCAAGTAAGATTCACCTCATCCTAAAGTAGCCTTCTAAAATGACAGAAGAATTCCACCAAAAAATGCCTCTCTACCTATGAACTTTGAAGAGAGCTAAGAACTATTAGCTCATTTAGTTAGTTGAATCTCACCCTTATGATATTTATTATTACTATTTTATTATTAACATTATAAGGTGATATAAGTATTGATATTGAAGCTTTTTTTTCCCTAGTGTTCCTGATTTGCCAGATCCTCATGGTTTCTGACTCCATTCATCGTTTCATTTTGATTATATAGGGTAAGTCTTTTAGGAAGTGAAAGTGTTCTTACAGTGCCTATATGAGTTTACTAGATGCATGTTGCTTATTTACCAGCCAAACTGGCTTGAATTGGGCAAAATGGTCAGAAATGTCATTTTCTTCCATCATAGGGTGGGAAGTTTAGAGTTTGTTGTAGACCTTTGAGTCTATCCGGATATTGAATCTGAACCAAAGTGCTACCCTGAGCAGTCATGGAATATGGGAACATTAAGACCTGTATCTGAAATCTGGATTTAGATCCACTAACTAGTGGCTGTAGACAGAGGTGTATCAGAAAACCTTACCTAGACTATTCTAGGACAGAAATGGCCTATCATCACCCGGTCCAGGTCAGTGAATAGGATTTTTAAGTGAGTCTTGTGCCAACCTGACTCTGGGGCAGCTAGCCAGGTGCTGAGGTGCAGCGTAGGGTCTGTCAGTCAGTGGCCAGAGCGTGTGGGGCTGTACAGGCAAGCTGGCCCTGCTCCTGCCCCTTGGGGGACAAGGGTGCCAAAGCAATACTCTGCATTCTCTGCAATTCTCTTCACATTAGAGGAACCTTCCAGAGGCCCTACTTAGGGCTGCTGGGGGCCAGAAGAGCAGCATAAAACTGCTTGAGTAGGGTTGGCAACGCACTCCCATACTCTCTTGTACTCTTCCACAAACCAGCTACACCTCTCAAATGAATACATACTGGGCAAAGCTCAGAAAAGCATCTTTCTGGAGATTATTTCCATCTGCACATCACAAAGGATATATTGATTTAGCTTTACTCCTGAGATCAGAGTGGAAACACTGTATAGCCAGGAAGCAGACACATATGCTGCTTATCAAAGCTATACATGCAGAACAAAAGATACCGATGTGGAGACCAATCAGCTATATTTGAACCAGCACACGACTTGATCTATAATTCTCTAAAACAAAGGAAAAGGAAGTGCTGAATTCTACTGTTCCTCGGCTGTGCAAACGGCATATCATGACTGCACTGATCTCGGCTGAACTTGCAGATATGAGTAATCCAAGCAGGTGATAATTGCTGTAGCTGTCATGGATTCCCCTGCCCCCCAAACTCATTTATTTGATTTATTTATTTACATTCCTTGGAGCTGCATAGAAATGTGATAATTGATGCAATGGGAAAGGACATCCCAGGATAGGTACAAAAGGGTGAAGTTGCATCTTGGAACAGAGATGAGCACCAAGTGGGACATGTCACTATAGCAAGGCTGTATTCTCCCTGCAAGGCTCTTTCACCTGTCTGCAAGGAGGATGAGTTAACTATTCCCCCAAATTCACGGCATTTCGGTTTATAGATGGAGACATAATTAA